GCCCAATCCCCAAGTCCAGGGAGAGATTCTAAGTGGCCCAGCTTGGGTCAGGTATTACGGTGGTGGAGACAATTGTGTCCCCAGGGAGACAGGTAGAGTGTGTATAGTACAGCAGGTGAGGGACAGTTAAAGCAGACACTGCAAGATGTGACCACCTCAACTAAGCATGCTACTCCATATCAGGGGTCAGCAGATTACCACCCATGGACTGAAGCCAAGCTCCACCATTTTTGTAAATAAAGTTTTATTAGAACACAGCCATGCTCATCCAGGGCGCTTTCCCGCTACAAAACCAGAATTGAGGTGTTGTGGTGGAGGCCAGGTGGCCCGTGGAGTCACATAGTAACTCTCTGGCCCTTTACAGAACACACGTGCCAACCCCTGTGTTATGGGGAGGATGTGCCTGTCAAGGAGACCCCGGGTAACGGAGGGATCCATCTGATGTGGGGATCTGCCTCCCCAAGGCGACGGCCAGCCCAGCCAGAGGAGCGGGGCGCAGCGCACAGGCAGAGCAGGCGCCTCGGGAGGCCGCGCGCACGGAGGGGCGCTGGGACAGGGTGCTGTCCCCTCCTCCGCCACCCGCCCCGCATCTGCTCTTAATTGAGGCGTAGTGGTACAAGCCTGATTGGGAATAGCAGGTGCGGGGATGCGGTGAACATTAGGGAATAGTCACTTGGCGGGCTCCCGAGCTGCCAAAAAACGAAAGTGTGCCGCCAGGCCAGATGTTCGCTCATTACCATCCGCTCTTCCTCAGAAACGGTTTAAGGCAACATTTGTTTGTGGAGGAAACACAGCTGTTCCTGGGGAAATGGGTTTCCCTTCTTTGGGCAGAGGAGCGGGGGAGGGGACCATCAGGGGAGGGACGCTGGGGACATCGTGGGTGGGTGGCAGCTAGATTCTTTCCATCCCGTCAAGCCAGGTCAGCCCTTTAGCGACTGTAAAGGCCCCCATGGTAATGTGGCTCCCCACGCTGTGGTGAAGGAGGGGCCGTGAGCCCCATTTTTCAAAAAAGAAGGCAGAGGCCAAGAGAGGGGAAGCGACTCAGCCAGGGCTGCACAGCCCTGGACCTGGACCCTGAGCGCCAAGGCCATTGTTCATGCCCTCACCCTTCTCTGGCTCTGTCTGGCACATGTGTCCTTTGGTCTCAGTCTTGGAATCTCCGTGTCTCAGTCTGTTTGTGTTTCTCTCTCTGCAACTCATTTTTGATATCCCATATCCCCTTGTCTTCTCCCGCCCCATCCCTGGGCTTCTGTGGTTTCCACTTGATTGTGTCTGTCTGCACCTCTGCCCTTCTCAGGGTGCTCATGTCAATCTCTCAGGACGAGTGGCTTCATGGTTTTGGTTCTTCCTGGCCATCTCTGTGTCCCCATTTCTCTGACTTGCTCCCTGTATCCCTCTCTCCATGTCTCTTTTTTTGTGCCCAACTCACCTTGGTGCTGTCAGTAACATCTCAGTGTGACTCTGTGTGACTCTGCCTCCTTTGGGGCCACCTGACTCCTTTTCTTTAATAAACACTTCTCTCTCTCTCTCTCTCTCTCTCTCTCTCTCTCTCTCTCTCTCTCGCATCTATTTGTATATTTTTTAAGATAGCATTTTTTAAGTTGTGTGTCATAAAATCAGTCAGTACTATGTGTGGCCAACAATTTTTAAAGAAAGAATAGAAAATATCAGAATTTGTGGCATGTACCATTGTTTCAGTTTTCTATATGAATGTGTATACTGAGTTCTGGCATAAAACACTTTTACTATGATATTTGATTAAAAATGTTCAAAAACCACAGAGTGAAGATGCTTTGACTACCCATAGAAGATAAAGTCGAATTGCACTAGGCTCACGCAGGAGGAACTTTCTACCACCACTTTGAGAGGTCCAGGGGCTGAGCTGGGTAATCAGCTGCTGGACAGTGTCATCCACTGAGGAGCTGGCTTCTTTCCTTCCGTCCTTTTTTACCCTCTGCTCCTCGGCAAGCCAGCCCACTCCCCTCATAGTCACAAGGGGACTCCTAGGGCTCCATCCAGGAGAAAACCAGGGACTGTCTACTCCCCTAGTGGGTTCTTAGAAGCCAAAAAACCCATCTCACATCTTATTGGCCAGGACAGGATCACATGCCCCTCTCTTAACCAATTGCTGGTAAGAGAGACAGCTACCCTGTATTGATTAGGCTAATCAGGGGCTCTTCCCTCCGTGGATGCACAGAGGATGGGGCACACCAGAGGCCACTGGGGCTTCCCTCACCAGGAAGAAGAGAGAGAAGCCCGGCTGGGTTGCTACCAGCATCTGTCACAACCTCTCACTGTCCCCCCTGCCTGGATACCTGCCTCAGCTCCCTTTTAGTCCCTCTTTATGTCTGTCCTGAGAGGAGGCCATGGTGAACATGGTGTGCAGTTAGGGCTTCAGTGTTAGTTTCCTATGAAGACTGTGATAAGTTACCACAAGCTTGTCACTGGACTTGGGGCCCATCTGGATAATCCAGGGTAATCGCAGCTCAAGATCTTTAACTGATACATATGCAAAGACTCTTTTTCCAACTAAGGTCATATTTATGGACACATATTTTTGGGAATCACCTTTCACCCATCACAGGGCCTCTGTCAGCCGTAGCCCCTTGGCTCTTTCAGGGCAGAGTCTCAGCCTGTTTTTTTTTACTCAATGCGCGAGGCCTTGACCTCTGAGCCTCGGCATCCTCATCTGCCAAATAGAGTCCTGAAGGAGCAACAGATGCAAAAAGACCTGGAAAATATCTAAAGGCAACATATTTTCCCAGTGCTCATGTCCTTTAAGAGGAAAAGCAGACTGGTTTCCTGCATCCATTTCCCAGAAACATGAGGCCTTTTTAAAATCGGCAGAAGCAGTGGGGTCTGGTGGGCTATTAGAAACACACGTGGTGTCTCCCATAAGGGTCACAGTCCCCTGACAGCCTCCTCCTCACAGTTTCTCTCCTGAGTCACAATGGGGTGTCTAGAGGGTTCTCTAAGGAGGTTGCTCCTGTCCTGGGCACCTGGCCCAGCCACAACCACTGCTGCAGAGAGGATGGTCACTGACCCATGACTCAATGTAGTGCCTTACAGCTCCCAAAGAGCCTCTCACCTCAGCTTCAGAAGGTCCTCTTGGTGCAGGTGAAGCACCTTCATTCCTTCATTCAATATGTATTCACTAAGCACCTATAGGTGCCTGTCAGGCCCTGTTCCAGGCCCTAGAGATTCATCAGTAGAAAAAAAAATTAAACATCCCTGGCCACACAGAGCTGACACACAGCAGGGAGAAGCTAAGTAACTCAACTTTTGGGAGTAAAACGACCATCCCAGGCACAGGCCTAGACCCAGGTGCCTAGACCCAGGTCCCGGGGACTCACCAGGGGATGGAGTCAGGTCTCCTAGGAAGCCCCGCAGAGTGATGGGAAAGGAGTGAGAATATTTGGATGGTGCTTAATAATTAGTTTGGCTGGCCCTTATCCCTCATTCCTGGGAGGTAACTTCTAAGCCCTTCGTCATTCCCAAGTGACAGGGGTGTCATTATTATTCATGGACCCTCAGACCAAACCTGATAATGAGGTCACTGTGGTGGGCCCTCCCAGGTTTGTGCTAATGAGACAATTCAGGAAAAGCACTGGCTTCCCCAGAAAAACCAGTCATGTGATTAGCAGGTGGGGGTGGGGTGGGGGCTAGTTTTAGTCAGCTTTTGCATTGCCATGACTAAAACTGGTTCTGATTTGTAACCATTTGCCATAATAAATTTTCAATGGTCAAAAAAGGCAGGTACTGTGTGATCCCACTTATACCAGGTACCTGGTCAAATTCATAGAGACAGAGGATAGCATGGCGGCTGCCAGGAACTGGGGGAGGGGAGAAGGGACCCTGTTTAACGGGTACAGCCTTTCAGCTTAGAAGGTGAAGAGTTCTGGAGATTGACTTGATGTGAATCTACTTAACTAAACACATAAAAACAGCTAACATGGTAAATTTCATACTATGTGTATTGCGCCACAACTTAAAAAAAAAAAAACTATAATCATTATTAATACAGTGCTTTCCTGAGCTCTGTGAATCTTTCCAGCAAATTACCAAACCAGAGGGTGGTTGATCATAGGGACTCCAGAACTTGTGGCTGGCGGGGAGGGGGTACTGGGAACTCTTGAACTTGCCACGATATCTGGAGGAAGGGCAGCTGGTAGAGGACCATGCCCTTAACCTGTGAAGTCCAGCCCAACTCCAGGTAGATGGGATGGGGAAGGCAGAGAGTGAGAGGTGGCTTTTGGTCAGAATGACCTTGAGAATCCCATCTAGCCCTGATTATCTGCGATTCCTCCATGAATACTCCCAGCCCTGGATGGAGAACCCTCCTCAGTCTCTGTTCCACACATTCAGTGAAGAGCTCCCTTTGGTTCCCTTTTCAGAATGTGTGTGAATGTGTGTGCACATATTTGTGCATGTGCGTGTGCACTCTTCCTGTCAGAACCATGAGTTCCTCTAGATCTGGAACCAGACTTCCTACTGTTCTGTTGCTCCCACCGCCAATGGGTTTCTTAGCAGAAGGCCGAACCGCTTTCCGTCTTCCCAGCTTGCAGGGGCTGCCCCTTTGCTGGGTATTCACACCAGTGAGTTAGCTTCTGTGAGGCCAGTGGCAGGAGCAGACCCTCCAGGAGGATGACCCCTGCCCTGGGGATGGGGACTGTTTAATTAGAACACCTTCACTCAGAGACGCTCATCCATTTATGGGGAAAACAGCGACAGGCTTTTAAGGACATGCCATAAGTTTTACAGTTATTGGATTTTTCAACTTGTTTACAAAAGCAATATTGTGAAATGGCCAACGGCCAGGCCCAGTTGTTTTTCCTCCTGTGCCTTCTGACAACAGGAAAGCATATTATCTCCCCCAGCCAGCTCCCGGGAGGTGTGTGGAGTGCATTCCATTTTGCTATCTGTTTAATTATCCATTCAGCAGGGCTTACAGAGCTGAAGCTCTTCCTCGGGTGGTGTTCACAGCCAGATCTGCTCTGGAATGCAGCAAAGAGCTCCCTCCACATATCTGGACCCCCTGCAGCAGCTCCTAGGAACAGCCCCACTCCAAGAAAATGCCAACCCCTGAAGAACCTGTCCCTTTGGAACAATGGATCACCAGTGACCTTGAACGCGAGTGACCTTGAACTTGACTGAACACCTCTGTGTCACAGGTTTCTCCTTATTTTATATATTTATATATTTTTTTTTTTTTTTTTAAATTGCTTTTGAAGAGTTGTTTCCAAACCAGGCTGCATGGCACCAGAAGCCCCTGAGGGAAGTTTTAAAAATAAACCTTGCCAGGCCTTCCTGGTCAGGTTCTGAGTTCTTGAGCCTGAGCCTTTGAAAACTCTCCAGGTCTGGAGCCCTGTGGACTTGACTGTATCTGCCTGATTTGGGCCCCCTCCCCAGGTTCTGTGAGGCTCCCTTGGTGGAGGGTAGGGGCAGATCAGGCCTCCCTCCACTTCTCAGGCCAGCTCCAGGCCTGCGCTCCACACCTGCTCAGCTGGCTGAGCTTCAGCAAGCTCGCACCTGGTGGAAAGTCATCTCCCGGAAAACGTCCAGGTGCATGAGGCCCCAGAATCATCATGTAGCTATAAATAACGTGGGGCGTGCACATGATGCAAAAGGTTGTGTGAATGACCTTCTCAGAGAACACCTGCACCGCCCCAGCTTTCACTGGGAAAATCCCTCCCAGTGAAATGTGGAGTTGACAGCTAGCTGCTGCTGGCTTAGCTGAGGACGCAGGGAGGAGGGACAGGGGCCAGAGCTGAAGGTGGGAGCTGTCTCTGCCAGGAGCCCTTGTTTGTCCCCAGAGAACAAGGCCACAAGGGAGGGTCCAGGAGTTCCTGCATTCAAACTTCTCCACCCAGCCCTTGATAGTTGATGAAGATGGTAACAGTAAGAATCACAGGCAGGCTGCGTTAGCTCTCCATCACTAGACAGATACCTGGGATAAACTAAAAAGAGGAAAGGGTTATCTTGCTCACGGCTTCAGAGGTTTCAGTCTAGGTTGCTCGGCCCCCTGGCCTTTGGGCCTGTGGTGAGGTGGCATCTCATGGCAGAGCACGTGGCAGAAGGAGCTGCTCACTTCATGGCCGACAGGAAGCCTCTGGGGTCCACATATCCCCTTCAAGAGCATTCCCCCAGTGACCCACCAGGCCCCCCCTCCCAACAGCATCACAGCTGCAGACCTAGCCTTTAATACCTGGGCCTTTGGGAGACATTTGAGATCTGACCTATAACAGTCTTCACCTCTCTTTAGCACTTTACAGTCTATACACCCTCCTACATTGTCGCGCTCCACCCTTACAGTACCTCTGGGATGTAGGCAGGGTAGCTGGCCAAGCAGGCCACTGCGTTAGCTGAAGGAGGTGACCCAACACAGGAGTGAATGACTTGGAAGAGATCACGGTAGACAAGCATTTGTCCCCATTCCTTTAGTTGCAAGCCAGCAACCCCGCAGGCCTCCAGCATCAGTATAAAACACCCACCAGTTCATGGGGCTTTCTTCTTTCTCAAAGTGTTGCATCCACTTGACTCTGAGTAGCTGAGGTAAGCAGGGTAGATTTTAGATGCTCAGTAGATAACAGAAAACTGAGACTCCAAGAGGTTAAGGTGGCCACGCAGCTGGAGCCCTTGTGAATGGGTTGCAAAACTGGGTTGGGATTCATAGGTTAGAAAAAACAGATTTGAAATGAGATGGTGACTTACAAGCTCTGAGATGGGCAAGGTACTTAAGTTTTAACTTTCATCATCTATATTAAGGAATAATGTTTTAAAAGGTAAATAATCTGCTTAATATCAATATAAAAATGAACAAGTTTGGAAAAACTCACTAATTAATGAGAAAACCAGGAAGGTGTTAAAAACTGGTTCAATGGAAGAATGCAAAGCCCCCCCCCCCCCCCGCCCCGCCACAAGGCAACTTGAAATGAGTCTGTATAGTGGCAAAACCCAGCAGTATCCTCCGAGCAATAATGAGCTGTATTCTTGCAGACTACAGTCATTGCAACTCCTTAGACAAGAATTATCTGCACCCTTATCAATTCTAAATAAGGTTCAGAGCTGACAAATAACTCAAAGACAGTGAAAGGTGCAGACTCCTCGGGGAGATGCACAACTGAAGACACCTTCTGTCTCTCTTGGTTCATTCCAAAAAAAGTCACATTTTTCCTACCATTGTAAGATGGGGAGGGTCCAAAAGACAGTTGCGAGGACCAAGTGAGATGGCGTGTTTATTGCCTGGCGAGAAGAAGACAGCCAGCTTTCCTTCCCTTCCCTTTCCCTGCTTCTCCACCAAGGTCAACACACTTCCATCCTGGATGGTTTCCAATTGCCCACACCCGGGAGCTTTAATCTCTGGTGGAGTCTGATACAGAGGAAAGAGATTGGGATTTGGTCTCACCCAGACCCTGGATCTGGTCTTGGATCTGCCACAGCCTCGGGCAAGTCATTTCTTTGCTCTGGGCTCAGTTTACTGGCAGTTAAAATGAGCTGAACCACATGACCTCTAATAAATCTTGGCTCTACGTTGACTTATACAACCAAAATTGCAGATTTTCTGAAACGATTTCATGACACAGTTCAACTGACATGGGCTTAGGAGCCAGAGAGAAGGATGTTCAAACCCCAGCCCAGCATCTTACCATCCCTGTGTTCCCCCAACCCATGTCACGGTTAGGGACATGAGTTGGGGAAACACCTTAAGAGGAACACCTTAATTTGGGCAAATTGCTTAACACCTCTGAGCCTACATTGCTTATCTGTCAGATGAGCTATTACTTTTCTTTTAAAGTAAAGGTGCTAGGGATTGAAACCAGGGGCACATTACCACTGAGCTACATCTCTAGTCCTTTATTTATTTTTTAAATTTGAGACAGAGTCTCTGCTAAGTTGCTGAGTTGCTGAGGCTGGCCTCGAGCTTGCAATCCTCCTGCCCCAGCCTCCTGAGTCACTGGTATTACAGATGTACAACATCTCACCAGAACAACTTATTACCCTTCGAGATGACCCAAAAGGCTATCCTGAGATAAAGTTGGGTACTATAAGCTATGTGCCTAGCACACAGTTAATGCTCAATGAGTGTCAGTGTCCATTCTCCACTTCCCTGTGCCCACTAGGCCTCCTTGACTTCCTATTGGGCTGCTTGCTGCTCAGGGCCAGCCGTCAGTGGGTGAGCCAGCCTCTCTGCGCTCTCCTCTAGCATCAGGACAGCAATTGCCCTCCACTCCTGCACTCAGGTAGTTTGGGTCTAGCCATGGAGCTGAGGACATGGTTAGGGACAGGGTTGGGGGAACACCTTAAGAAGAGGATATGCACAGGGCAGAGCTTGCTCTCAAGGTAGTCTGGGCTAGGCTTCCAGAAAGAGGTGATTTTGAAGTGGGCATTGCAAGATTCCACCCCAGGAGGGTCTTGGCAGGTACAGGGGACCACAAGATGAAGACCCAGAGGCCAGAAAGCTAGCAGTATGCTGGGAAAACTGCTTGTTTGTCAGTGTGGCAAGGCCCAGGGTTCCCAGAGGGGAATGCTAGAAGACATGTCCAGAAAGGGATGTGTGAGGTTCTGATTAAAAAGGAGTTTTGACCTCAGCCTTCAGACAGTGGGCTACCAGGGGAGTGGCCTGTGGGACTTTTGTCTCCTTGCAGCAGGCAGTCACCTCGGAAGCTGTGCCTTCCCCAGGTGGTACCCTCCAGCTGGCCTAGCATGGGAGGACCATAGAAATGGCCTCCCTAAAAAACTGCAGCAGATCTCTGGTTTCCTAGAACAGTGCTTCTGGAACTTCACCGCACCAGGACCCATTGGGGCTCCTGGTAACAGGCAGACCCCGATCATCGAGTCCTAGCATTGGGCCTGGGACTCTGCATTTCTCTCCAGCTTCAAGGAGATGCCAGTGCTACTGGTCCACAGGCCACATTTTGAGTAAGGACAATGGGTACCCTCAGGACCAGCAAGAGACAGGGCTGTGCAGAGGGTGACAATTAGACTGATTCCTTTCTCCCTTTTCCTCCTAGTCTCCAGGCCTCAACCCCACGAGGCCAGACTTCCTGCAGATCAGCTGCTTGGGATTCAGAGCCACAGCCCTCCCCAGCTGGGCTTCTCCCGCCTAGCGCTGCAGATACAGCAGGCCTGGTTCTCCTCCACTCGCACCAGAGCTTACAGGCCTCATTCCCTCCAACCTGTATGCATGGAAAGGGGGAGGCCACTTTACTTAAACCCTCCAGGGAAGCGCATGAAGCAGGTGTCCATTCAGCCACGCCTGGAAGGCTGCCAGCCAATGACAGATGTCATCCTGTAGGACCCACCAGGCCAAGGTGTTAATGGCGGGTAAGAGCCTATCGCCATGACTCCCTGAGCACATTCTTGAATTCTAACTGGGGCTTCAATCCTGTTAAGTTAAAGGAGTTGCCTTCTGTTGGGTGTGGGGCATCAGGGAAGGCTGCAGGTATTCCTTGCCTTAGAGGGTGCAGGCACCTCTCAACTTGGAGCACCCTCCTCCAGGCGAGGCTATTGTTTCAATGTGTCCCCCAAAGTCCATGTGTTGGGAATCCCAAGTGCACCATGGTGACGGGTGGGACCTTGAATGATTAGGTTGAGAGGGCTCTGCCCTAGGGCACAGGTTAATGCCCTTATCACAGGAATGTGTTCCTGATAAAAGGATGAGTTTGGTGCCCTTCTCTCTCTCCTTCCCTCCCACTTTCCACCATGGGCTGACACAATAGGAAGGTCCTCATCACGTGCCGGTACCGTGATGGTCTTCCCAGCCGCCCAAACGTGAGTATTTAATTTCTTTCCTTTATAAGTTACTCAGGCTCCCATAGTCCATTATAGCAGCACAAAATGGACTAAGTTGGTGCCCCTCTTCTCATTTCCAGAGCACCCCATGCTCTCCTGACATCATGGCCCTGAACCCCCCTCCCCTGCTGCATGTTCCCTGGTCCACGAGCTGCACCGTGCATGCGTGGTGCCTAAAGCACAGAAGGTGCTTCCGCCATGCTTAAGAAAGGATTGGCAGGCCACACCCAGAGCCCACGCCTGTGTAGAGCACACTTTTGGTTCCCTGCGGGGGCGATTTTGCCCCCACGAACATTTGGCAATCTCTGAAGACACTTTTGGTTGTCACGTCTTGGGAGCAGGGGACTGCTGGCAACTGAAGGTCACGAACACTGCAAAATATCCTCCAGCTTACAGGACAGCCCCACAGCCAGGGAAGACGAATCCCCAAATGTCGACAGTATCAAGGGTGAGAAATCTCTTCGGGGAAGGAATCCGCCTTCCCAGGCACTCCCTCACAGCCTCCCACCAATGCTGTCACTTCCCAAATCATCCTCGCCCCTCCTCCCCGATGGCCCTGGTTGTGTTTTGCAAAACACCAAATGATTCACATCTGTAAACCGTGAGCCCTTCACAGATAGAAAGACTGACCCTGTTCCCAGACCCGAGTTCATGGAAACATTTCCCCCAAGAATTAATTTGAAAAAAAAAAATTAAATGTTAACAAATAAGTAAAGGCAAGGAACAGTGAGCTAGTAATAAGACACCTTTTGATGTTCATTATGCTGGATTTCCGGACAGTTAAATTGGTTAATGCATTTCCCTTTGGCTTGTGGATCAATCTCTGCAGCTGTCAGGGACGCTGCGCACGCCTGTTATACATTACAGCTCAAGTGCCTGGTGACACCAGCAGAGCCCCGCTTGACAGGCAAGGGCTTGATTCACGGAAGGCAGAGAGGAGGTAACAAATCATGACCCCACCCACCATTTGACCTGCTTGGTGGTCTCCCCCACCCTCTCAGACTCACATATCCACATGGAGCACCCCCTCCCAAAACAAGTAGTTACCTGCAAGTGAAAAAAATTTTCTCAATTTTATGCATTTCTGTAACTAATTATATCCTGTAATGGGAGGGCGAGGGGAAACCCTAGTATCTTCTCAGCTGAGGACTTTCATTTGAGAAGTTGTACCCCTGTGGGGCCCAGGGAGGGAGCAGGCAGAGGAGGAAGTAGGATAGTTTGGGGCACTGTCACTGGGCAGAATTCATGCAGCAGACACATGAAGAGATGACTTCTTGCCTTATGGCCAGTGGTGAGGCTCAAAGCTCAGTGAACAGCATGGAAACCCAGGTCTGGACACAGCCATATCTCTGTCTGGAAGCTCTTGCTTTTCCTGCTACCTGTCCTTCAAACCTCAGTTCACCCGTATCCCCCAGCTCTGTGAGATGTCCCCTGATCTCTTGCGGTGTGGTGGCCCCCTCTGTGCCTGACCTGTCCCAACACCTACCACCTGGATCTGCAATTGAGGTGAGATGGTGGAGCAGCCACCACTGATGAGACTCATCTAGCTCCTTTCTCAGGGGAGAAAGAAGAGCCCAGCTTTGTATAGCTGGGACCCTTCTGACTGGCCATAGCAGTGACCACAGCTGGGAGACGGAGCCATCTCCATCCCAGGGAGATGGAGCCCACGTAGTCTGAGCCAGTCACAGTATCTCATTCTTGTCAGGTATTGCCTTAGAGGGCGTGGCCAGTGAAATGTGAGGGGACATTGGCCAGGGGAACGTGCAGGAATGCTTCCTTTGTACTTGAAAAGACATGGACAAGAAAGAAAGGGTCCTTTTTGGCTTCTGGGCCTGATCATCAACATTTGTCAGCTGGAATTACTGCAGCCACTCGTGACCACTCCCATCATCAACACCCTGAGGAAGGTGGGACAGAAAGAAACTTTATAGGAAGTGGTCAGGAGCTGCACCAGTTAACAAGAATTTATTTCAAATTATGTTAACCAGATATAAAGAATGTTAACCAGGCAACTGAAAGGGCAAAAGGGGAGAAAGGGGAGGCAGCAAGGGGAGAAAGGGGAGGCAGCAATGGCTGAAAGAAGATACCACCTTGAAGGCTAGGGGAACAAAGGAAGGAGATTGGAATTATTAACACTCCACTGAGAGAGGGGGCATGGAGCTGACATGCAGATCTCTGAGAAATTGCATGGTTGGTGTCAGCATCTGTCTCTGAGCTAAGGACCCTGGATCCAGACTCAAAGGAAGAATTAGTCTGTTTTCTGTTGCTGTAACAACATACTCAAAGCAAGGTAATTTATAAAGACTAGAGGTTTATTTAGCTCATGGTTCTGGAAACAGGGTATCAGCCTAGATGAGAACCTCCTTGCTGCATCATAAAACAGCAGGGGCATCATGTGCCAAGACAGAGCCAGCTAGCCAGAGAGAACTCGTTTATAACAAAGCCCCTCTTACGATCCTCCAGTATCCCTCCAATGCAGTACTCCATTTGTGAGGGCAAAACTCTCAAGACCCTATCACCTAATCTTCAAAGCTGCATCTCCCAACACCACCGCGGTGGCCATCCAAGAGCAACACGCATTTCAGAGGACAGACCACAGCATGGTGCAATGAGGCTGCAGGGGCCACGTCCTGCGTCAGCCTGCATATGCTCTCCTTGCAGTCAGCTTGGGTTCTCCCTCTGCATTCTGCCCCCTCCCAGCCATCTTGCCCTTCTTACTGCTCTCTGAACCCTCTTGGGGCCTTTGTGAGTTGGGTCAGAGATACTTTCCATTTCAGCACTTCCCTGGGGCTGCTGTGACAAATCACCTCAAACTTGGTGGCTTGAAACAACTGGAGTTGTTTCCAGCCTCTCAGATCCGGAAGTCTGAAATCAAGGTGTCAGCAGGGCCCGGTTGACCCTGATGCCTCTCGGGGAGGATCCTTCCTTCCCTCTTCCAGCTCCTGGTGGCCCCAGACTAGTCCCTTGGCTGGTGGCAATGTCACTCCCACCTGCCTCCATCTTTTGACCTCTCATGACCTTGTCTCTGTCTGGGTGTGCTTTTGCTGTCTCGTATGAGCGCACTGTCATGGGATTCAGGGGTCACCTCATCTCAAAGACCCTGCCGGACTCCAAATAAGGTCACATCCAGAGTCCCTGGTGGGCACCACAAAACCCACTGCAAGGGACAGGCTGGAGATCAGGAGAAACTCTTCTGTGATCCACGAGGGGAAGCTGAACGCAGAGCAGTGACTGTCCCCACCCAGACACAGGGAGCCTACTGTCCCCTCTTAGACAACCCCAACATTTTATCCCCTGTGACCACCCAGCCCCTGCGGGTCAGTGGTCCCCGCTGAACCACCTCAACAGGTCACTGTCCCCATCCCTGCGTCTCTCCTCATGTTTGGGGACAAGGGCCCTCTCCCCAGTTGGGGGACTGGCAGTAGAAAGAAAGGAAAAGGAATTCGACGAATAAAGGCAAAAAATCTTCACCATCCACAGAACAATACGCAAAAACCAGGACATTCCTCCAGACCATCCATAAATAACCCTGACCACAAAAAATAATGCACTAGACAGCTTGTGGGATGGTAGCATGTGAGAGACTGTGGAACTTTCTAAAATTAATTTTCTTCATTTTGGTTTATTAAAATTGCACTCATCTATCTCCCCTGTTAAATATTTTATTTTTTCATATTAATGGCTGCAATTTCAGCTTGTGCCTGTTTCTGTCATTAACACTGTACAAACTTAATATCATTAGTAGTTTTTCCCTTAATTATGTGACTAGAAAAGAAAAACATCAAAGTTTCCGTGAAATTGGAATAGTATATCTAAATTGCCTCATGTTTATTTTAACATTAACAGTAAATGAAGCTAATGGGCTTTTATATTATTAAAAGCACTCATTTGTGTCCTGCCTGTTCTAATATATAACAAAGCTTTAAAAGATGTTAAATAATTAGTTATTTAATAGGGACGGGTGGAATAGATCAAACCAAAGGAAAAGTTGAGGGTAACCAACGTGTGCAGTTGAGGGGTCTCTTCTTCTCGGAGCTTTCAAACGGGATTCCCTCTCCTCACGTCTGCTGGCCTGCTGTTAACGTGATAGCCCTAATTTATAATGACCCCGCAGCGTTAAAGCAACAAAATCTATTGCTGCGGCCCCGCAGAGGACACCCGTGTGGGGGGCAATAATGTTTGCAATTATTTCTGGGCAATATCCATTCATAATTCAATACCTGTGCACAGTGCGTGGTTGCTACAGGCCCGTGCTGAGCTGGTGCTCCTGAGGCCTCTGGGAGGGGGCCCTGGCCCCGGCCACTGCTCTGTCTCCCTGCACCCCCTCCTCCACACTTGCCATCCCAGAGCCTCCTGAGTCGTGGCAGGGGTCTCCTCAGCTCTGGAGGATGAGAGTAAGTGGAGGCATTCATCTTAGGAGCACGGTAAGACCTGGGGAAAATCTCTGGCTGGCAAGTCTAAAAGAGGAAGCAGATATTGCCACTCTCCTGCTCAGGCACCTGCAGTGACTCCCGGTGGCCTGCTCCACGGAGGCCAAGCTCCCCACTTGACAGTTCCTGCTCTTCCCCAGCCCTGCCCTGGGTTTCTTTACCCCACTTGCTGGTTTGTCCCACCCGCTTGCTGTGGCTCCCGGAAATCACTTCTGTCCTTTCTTCTGTCTATCTAAATTCCAGTCATTCTTTAGGATTCAAATTTCTCCTCCTCTAGCAGACTTCTCCCCGTCCCTCTTGGGTCGAATTCTAGAGCAGTGCTCCTCAGTCTTGGGCACCCATTGGAGTCCCAGAGAGGTTTATCACAGCACCCAGAGGGCTTGATTCCAAGCTGGGGCAGGGCCTGAGCATGTGCATCCTAACAAGTTCCCAGGTGGTGCCAATGCTTGTGGACCTTGTGCAAATCCTGGCTCCAAGTCATTAGGCACTGTGCTTGCACTGGCTTGAAATGCTCTCCAATAGTGTCATGTGACCAAGACTCCTCCCCTCAAATAGACAGAAAGTTCCTGATGGCGGGGACTCTGGGCTGTTGCTGGTATGTGAGTCAAGCCTCCTGCTGCACTGATTGGCTGCAAGCTGAGATGATTCATCCATCGATGGAGAAATCTCCACTTTACCGGAGAGGAAGCTGAGGGTTAAAGAGTTGAAGGAAGTTGCTGGAGGTCACACAACTGGTAAGTGACAGACAAGATTTGGACCCAGGGCCTTGGCTGATGCTCCTTAATCGATTTCAAACATGAGGGCTGGGAAGAGCCAGTTAGGAGGAGAGCCCTGCTTCTGGCACTGCTAAGCTACTAAGCTTGGACTTCCAAAAAAGTTCTATTTAGTAAAAGGGAGAAATCAAGATGATTTCCCTTCCCTAGATTTAGGGATCCTTTTTTCTGGAGCCAAATACACATGGAAAGCAAGCTGCCATGCTCTTGCTCCCCACCACACACACACACACACACTCTCTCTCTCTCTCTCTCACACACACACACACACACAATCAATCAATCAATCAATCACTGCCTTTGTCTCCCTGATCTCAGGTGCAGCTCAGAATCTTCACTGCACTTCTGGATTGCTATCGTTTGCCATTTACAATCAGTCTAACTTCTCCTATATGTTGGTAAGAAAACTGAGGCGCAGAGAGAAAATGCAATTTGGCCACACAGCAAGTTAGTGATATGTATTAGTTATCTCTTGCTGTGTAACAAATTATCCCAAATCTCAAAAGCTTTCAACAACAAACACTTATTAACTCACAGT